ATGATCAGCAAGGCATCTGAAGGTTTTTTTGCGTTATCCTACTATGCGTGATCTTACTATTACATTTTTGTCAGATGCCTGAAATTCATGCGAATCAACGACAATCGACTCATTTTCCCCACAACAGTTAATGCCAATCCAGGGAAAGGAAATGTCCGTCTTGAGGTATGGAAAGATTTTTCTCGCTTCTCTCTGTTTAGGAAGAAGCTCCGTTATGCAAGGTGGCGCGTTTGTGGTGCGAGGATGCGGGTTACGTGTTTGCCCATAGTCTTGCCGTCAAGGTTCTGGGTAGTAACCATTACCCAAGGATTGGTTTTTCTAACCAGGTTGGGGCAACTCCCGCACAACCCCCTTAAAAGGAGCTGGACGAGCTTGTATCTCATTTAAAAAGGGGGGATGTGTAAAGTCGAAAAGAACACAGGAAGTAAAAGCAAGGAAATGGCCCCCGAATGGGAGTTCCGAGGGTAGTGATAACTGGGACCTTAGTTGTGGCGACGTGCAGGTCTTTTTCTCTGTTAGGTAGATAAAAGAAGTCCAGTAGAGGAAGTCTAAATGGTTGTCGAAGATACAAGAAACAGGATGTAATTTGAAGCCTCAGGCGCTGGTTTGTGTTACTGTTTTCGTAAAAGAAATTACGGTGCCCTTCGGTGGCGTGGGTGGGGGGGGGGGCATTTTGCTTTTTCACGATTTCACTAGTTCCGGTTTACAAGTCTCACTCTGGTGAAATCCGTGAAGCTGGAGCAAGCTCGTCGAACAACCATGGTAAAAGCTTTCGTAGCTGTAAGCCAATGAAATAGCTCTCTAGATGGCTCGACACGTCGATGGGAAGTAGCAAACGTGCTTAATGCCCCCCCCCCGTCGCCGAACCCCACCAAAATTACTTCATAGTCAGCTATAGACATAGTATTGTCACCTTACATACTTGTCCGCCTTAGAAAAATTGGAGAGCCTAAGGAAAAAAATTTTGGTTATGGTTTGCATTCAGGTGGCCTTCATTCATCTGTTGGAACAGTTCCGTCGTGCATATATTATGGACCAGGTACTTCTGTTCACCCTCCCACGCAATAATGTCCATATTCAAGACTGTCTTTCCAGATAACCAAATCAAGTCCCGTGTACGACAAGCTGAACACCGAGCTGGGTGTATCTGACGAAACGGACATGCTTAGTGTGATTGTTCAGAAGATGTAAGAGCACTGGATTTTTTCCGTGGTTATGAATTGCCTCATTTATTGTTAATGTTTCAGTCTAACAAATTTGAAGTATTGGGCAACAAATGAGCAAATCTTGGAGTTATCGCTATCCCTTTTGAAGGATCTCTCCTTAGGATATACAGCAGTTCGGAAGCTGTTTCGATTGCAAGAAGTTCAGCTGCTTCTCAGTAACCACACGGTGAGACGCAGTTTTTTGTGGCCACGGAAGGGGATAGTAGGCCTGAGAAAGCGACCACACTTGCCATGCTCGCTGAGCGGGTACGCCGCGCTCGATACACTGAGCAGCGCTAGAGAGAGGGGATCCAAGTAGAATTGGTCTATTTCCTATGCAATCCTTTGGCAAGTTCTCCCAATTTGTCCTTTGCAAAACTCTTTTATTCCCGTAGTCACCTGATCAATTCTTGTGCTTTACTTTGTGCGCCTTTTCCTTTACTCCTAGGCATTTCTGCATGACGTTCAGTCGCACTCGGATCTTAGCCGAGCGAATCGCGCGATCTGAGCGACCAGTTGCGAAGTATGCGCACTTTGAGCGATATTTTACAAGTCTTCGGCAACTGTGATATCCCAAAGATGGTTTCAGGCTGAACAACTTTGTGTCTTGGGCAATCTGTACCATACTCGACAATGAAGCATCGTACCGTATTCTATGAGGCTCTTACACGTCTTCTTACCATAGACCTCAACGATGATGAACAGTTATTTGAACAGTTCATGCAACCATTAGCGGGTTTGCTTCAATGTCTCAAATAATTGGCAATTTTTGCCCAAATCCAAAATAGTTGAATTTTAGCTACGAGTCGAGAATTGAACGGAGGAGGCAATAAACTGACCACAGACTACCAAGACTATAATGGAAGCAGTTTAGTCAACGAGGAGTTGAAGGTTAGCTCGCTTTACACAACCGGTGGTACCGTTCCTTTGAAAGCGGCATGCTACACTTTTCACAGGTTAGTCCGGTTGGTGAATTCGCTGTCGTGATCTTCGAGGTGTGGCTGTCGCATGTACAACGAAGAATTTGTTCCAGATAGTGTTCGATTGGCTGTTAGTTACTGCTTGATTTCATTACTGAGGTTTTGAACGAAGGTGTTTCTATTTTAGTTACCCAGATATGTTCAACATTATGATGCGCGCTGTCGAGGAATGGTCATCTTGTCCCGAGGTGAGTTTCCAACAGCATTTTCGAGTTGAGCTCTCAGAAATAGAACTATTTGGCCTTGGTGCAAGTTTTAGACGACGGGAGGGGGCATTTTGCACTTTTTTCTTACTTCCCAGCCATTGGACTGTGTCGACCTACCTAGACGTGCCGTCTTCATTTTCACGAGATTGAACGCGGTGGATCTTTTCCACCCACGAGAGGAGTGGCTTGACACCCTTGTTCCGCTTCAAGCAAAAGGAGCTCACAGGTATCCCCAGAATGAGACATGTAAACCAGAACTAAGGAAGCAATGATAGTACAAAATGCCTCCCCACTCCCTTCGTCGTCAAACTGCGCGCGTGCCTTTGGCGTTACTTTACTGAGGCCTTTCACAGCTGCCTCCATCTCCAGCGTTAAGGCCAGTATCGCGGCTGAAATATTGTGAACAGCGACTTGTGGTCCGTTGAAATGCCCCAGCAGGGGGATCGTATTTAGTCATCGGAAAGGAGTCGAAGTTCGCGACTTCTAAATACAAGCGGCTTTGGTTCGATTAATTGCTGCCGTCGATCTTTGCTCGCTTCACTATTTTGGCAACCTGCTCACACACCAAAAGAAACGCGGTTCGAGCGGCCGTCGTTGAGGAAAAGGGATTCAAGGAACTTTTGAAAAATAAAAAAATAAATTAAGGAAAAAGCGATAAAGGGATAAAAAGCAGAGGAAATTTAGGCAGATGGTAGGTAGGATGGTGGGTCGTACTAGAAGGGAGGTGACTGTGCATCTAATACAATAAGTTTCAGGTAATGACCCCAATTTTCCGATTGTTGGCTGAATTGTGCCAAAATCGGCAACAGCGCTTGAAATTTGAGATGAGCAGCTGCAGTGCCGTACTTCTCTTCAAGGAGGCTAGCAAGATCATATGTGCATATGGTTGGTTTCCCTTCCTTATATTTCGTTCTCAGAATTACAGTCATCTTGAGAGATACATGGGAAACAAATTACATTCAGGTAATCGAATTCTTGTCATGCCTGATGTGCCAAAAGAACGTGCCTATGCTGAACGATATAAGAATATTGGAATTATATTCAATGTGCTAAAATGTGCTCTAATTGGAGCCTATGTGCCATTTGGTGAGTCAGAAGGCTTATGTAGCATTTCTCATCTTGGAAATTTTAACTTGTCCGTTTTAAGGAGTTTTCCGGTTGTATGGTGATCCATGTCTCCAGGATTCTCTGAATATGTTCGTGAAGCTGTTCATGAAAATACCGGAAGAAGATTTCCACGTCAGTTTTTTTTCTTGCGTATTCCCTTCTTTGCGCAACTGTGCTCCTTTTTCTGCCCAGTTGCTCAATTACATAGGGTCTCAATACAAGTTTTCGGCCTTACTGGCTTTCGAAAAAGAAATCAAAGTAGAGCCAAAAAATATCCTCAATTACCAATTTTGTTTCAGTCCTATACGAAGATTGCACAACATTACTATAATCTGTTGGAGAATGTAGTACAAGACAACATTGCTTTTGTATCCAATCTCCAACCAGAAGTGTTTGCAGCTATTCTGCGGTCAGTTCACACAGGTGTGACATCGTTAGGTAAGGCGTTCTTTTCCACTCAATAATTTTTATATTCTTTCAAAAAAGCTCCATTTGGGTTGGTGCGGGCACTGAGTGGGCTCAACGAATCCTGTACGGGCCATCGCTTGATCTGTCTGAAAAGTCTGAGCTTTTTTCTGACCGGAGTGGCTTACTTGTACCATTTCGCAGCTTCACAAGATTTAAAGGTCTCACCAAAGTGAGACTTGCTAGCTAACGTCAAATAACAAAAATAACCAACAAGAGTGGAAAATGCTTCCCCCCCCCCTCAACCGAACAAAGCTAAAACTAGTGAGCGCCTTCACTCGGCCACAGTGACGTTTAGAAGTTATTTAGAAATTTATTTGTTCACTTACCCACTCAGTTGACCTAATATTCTTTCGTCATTTGCTTGCAGGAACGCCGCTCGTCATCTATAACATCGGCATGCTTCCGCGTTTAGCATACATTTAATTACCTGTACAAGAGGTTTACAAGATCACCGCATCCGGTTGCAAAGGTTTGTCATGTTAATTTCGAAGATTTCGGTTTTTTAATGCTTATGGAGCAGATGCCATTTGAATTCAGGTTAGGTCAGGAGATTCAAGTCTTGTGGCGATAGGCAAGAAGTCAGTGCGCCGACTCGCAACCATGACGTCACTCCACCGGGGGTATTGGCGCGCGGTGCTATGTAAGCCCCCCTCTCCCCCTTGGGTGCACTGGATATACGGCAAGCGTTATTGCTAAATGACTGACTCGGGTTTTTGACGAGGCAGTCGTAATTCGCCGCACTAGTAGGCCTCGCGTGCGACGTCGCTCCTGCAAATGATGATACTTCTAGGTCGTAGATGGCGACAATACAGAGTGTATATCCACAATAGTCATAAATTACCCTGATTTCCCTTTCCGTATAGAATCCGATGCTGTAAACGACAGGCTAATACGATTGAGAAAATACCGCGCGCGACGAAGCGGCAAATGGTTGTCTTGACCGTCTCCCCATCGAATCTACGCTCTAGATTGAACAGCCCGTCCAGCGTGAACACCCTAGCCCTAGCCTGCAAAGTCACTTGTATATGCGTTTTAGGTAGCGCTGGACCCGCAAAGAGAACTCCTGTCTAGTAGCTGTCAAAAACCAGCCGCAGTTGATGTCTGACGTAAGTCGCATTTATTAATTTAGGTTCTGATTCTCTAAAATCTCTATATAATTAATTTAATTTAATTTATAATCTGTAAAGTTATACGCAGGATTGATGTTGTGCTCCATTGTGTTTTTTTTTACAGATTTTAACGTCCATGATGACATCGCTAATGTTTGGCGAGGTAAAATGCCAATGGAGTATATCTCGTCCTCTGCTAGGGCTGATTCTCTTGCAGGTGAGTTATGTGAACAACTTCCAGTTGTGGTATCCCTTTGTTTTTGTTTCCTTTGCCTTCTCCTTTTTTTTGATCCCCGGTAAAAATGTTACCATGGTTTTGTGGAAATGTTTCACCAAATATACTTCAGGAGGAGGTCTTCACAAATTTCAAGCGTGAAATCATATCACAACAACCAGAGGATCGGCATGCGGCATTCGATCAGGTGGGACTTCCTTCATGATTTTTTGACTTCCTGTCTGATTTGCTTACACGGTTCTGCCTAAATTCAACCTCTGACACATTTTTAAGCATTCTCTCTTATCAATAACAACATTGTAGGCGTTCATTGGATTAATGGATGGTGTTGAATTGTCACTGACGGTGAAAAACAAGGACATCTTCACTCAAAACCTGGCGAAATTCCGTCGAGAAATCGTTGAAGCAGTTAAAGGCAAGGAGGTGTCGCCATCGGCCAGCAATAATGAGATGTGCTAGTTGAACGTGAGAAGTACCCAGTTGTGTTTTGGTCCTATAGACGGCTCTTGTCACAGTGAGTATTGATGTTATTGCCAGGCAGAGCAAAGAAAGGATACGTCACAAAGAGTTTGAGTAATTTATCCTTTTCGAAAGTACTGCCGTGGTTCGTTTTCAGTCTGTTGGAGGCACGGTTTGGGATGGCCGTATGGGCGGGTTCAAACGTACACTAGTGGATTTCCTATTGGCGCATCGTTCTCTCGAAACTGCGTTCATACTTTATAAGTGAAGAACCTACGAACTGAAATAACGCCATGTGCACCCTTTCGCGATTCCTTCAGTTCTTCAACTCTTCACTTTCGCAAAGTATGAACGCGGCCTAAGGCATTGTTCACAGTCTGCGGCACAGCGTTCCTCTAGAAAGAAACGCTCCGGCGAAAAGCTTTCGATACGTATCGATTGGCGGTTGGGCGAAGAGTCTGGCGGTTGCGCGAAACGGTTTTGATACGTATCGACGGGCGGTTCGGCGGAGCGGTTGGGCGAAAAACGCTAGCCGACCGCCCTGGCGTTTTTCTCTAGGGCGGAGCCAGCGAAATCGATACGCATCTATTGCTTTTCGCCGAACCGCCGAACCGCGGCGGCGTTTCTCCAGAGCGGTTGGCGATTCTCCGATCAATACGTATTTATTGCTTTTCGCCGAACCGCTGTTTCGTCAGGGTC